TATGCAGAGATAATGATTGTTGGTTTGTGTATGATGATTTGATCTACTTTACACAAGGCAAGGCAACAAGAATGATTTTGTACCAAGGAACGAGTGATGATAGTGAGCTGTTCAAGATACCAATCAGTGTATTTTCTCATTCATTTGATGCAGAGTTAGGAAAGTGTGCTGCATTCATAGGGAAGTAAGTAAAGACTTTAGTATGGCATAGAAGATTGGGACACCCTTTAAAAGAAGTATTGAGTTCAATGATGCAGAGTGCATAATTACCAGTTAGTATAAATTCATCTCTTTCTATATATTCTGCTTGTATTCAAGGCAAGATGAGTAAACTTCCATTTCATGTAAAACAAGAGAGATCAAAATTTATGTTTTAGAAGATACATTCAGATGTCTGGGTCCTTCATCTCAGAAATCCGTAGAAAGTTATAGGTATTACATCAGGTTTATAGATGATTTCTCTAGGTTTGTATGAATTTACCATATGATGAATAAATCAGACACATTTTACATATTTATCAAATTTCAAAGTTTTGTGTTTAATTAGTTCAATGCCACTATTAAATGTCTCCAATCTGATGGTGGAGGGGAATACATGAGTAATATATTTAAGAGCTTTTTGGCAGATAAAGGAATTACTCATCAAGTGTCTTTTCCTCATACCCTTCAACAAAATGGAATTGCTGAGAAGAAACATAGACACTTAGTTGAGACAACTTTGACTTTCATACAGAAGCACAAATTCCTACATCCTTTTGGTATCACTCTTGTTCACAAGCAACTTTCTTAATTAACATAATGCCTTGTAGAATTTTAGATATGAAGTCTCCTTATCAGGTTCTTTTTGGACTAAATCCTAAGATTTATAATCTCAAGATCTTTGGAACTGCTATTTATACATTACTCAGGCTCTTTAATGCTAATAGACTGCAACCCATAGCCATTCAATGTGTGTTTATGGGTTTTGCTTTGGGGTATAATGGGGTCATTAGTTATGATATTAAATCCAGAAAGTTTATTGTGTCCATGCATATACTACATAATGAAGATACGTATCATTTTCAGCATCTGTGTAAGTCAGTTTTAAGAAGTATAGAAGACCATAAGACAACAACACAGTTTCATGTTATAATCACTTAGCTGACACACTTGGAAATTCAACAAGCAATAGATATAGAATTCACAGGAAATTTATGCAATGGCTAATGTTGATTCAAAAAATACATCAATGACAAATGATTATACTTCTAATTCAAATGGTAATGAAGGGTTATCAGTTCACAACAGTGTGATTTAAGTGGTAATGCATAATCTCCAAAGTTACAATGACATCCCCATTCATCCCATCATCACTTTGGTATATCATCAATGTTGCATATCCATTCATCCACACAACTTGAGGTAATACTTCATGTCTCTACACAAACTGATTTACCTGCAGACAATGAGTCAATCACACATTCTATGACCACTAGATTGAAGAGTGGCACATTACCTAGAAAGAATTATGCAACTTTACTTGTCTCATGTCCTGAATTGCATTCTCTACAATTAACTGAGGATGAACCATTTGTTAGGGGTTTTTCATTCTTATCTGAGATTGTTGATGCTTCAAAGCCTTCATCATTCAGAAAAGTTATGACATGCCCCGATCCCGATATTCCCCGAATACAAGGATAGGCACATGCTGGTCGACACCCGAGGGTGACCACAGCCATTTATTGATTTCAAAAGCTGAAAATAAAGGATAGATAAGACTTATAAATATAAAATATAATGAATATGCATTTAAGGAACGTGTTCAGAGCATACAACTAACTAGAACACTAAAAGAAATAATATAAAATTGAATGAAACAAAGGATGGATTATACACCGAGATGACTCGAAGATGCAGATGCGGAAGTGCCTGGATGTCGGGATTATATGCCTTGATTCTAAGTTCTGAAGGGGGCGCAAAACAAACATGACTGGACCAAGTTGATATATATATATATATATAATAAAACAATTATCAACATACTAACCCCCAGGTTTTATGAAAACACATATATATCATGATAAACATAGGTTTTCCGAAACCTAGCATGCCGTGCAGGGTTTCAAATAATAACTTGTATATATAATAATCACTAGTAAATGTTCGATAACTTTCCAGGCCCCATGCCGGCTCCCCGTCTCTGAGCAAACAATCAAAGGAAAATTACCCCCAAGCCCCATGCCGGCTCCCCGTTCCTGTGCTAATAGCCAAAGGAAAAACACTTTAGGCCATATGCCAACACCATAACCATCACCCGGAACGGACCGAAATCTATCCCTTCATATCGTCATCCATCAAATATTCTATAAGAACACGTGTTATAGGAAAAATAGTAATATTTCAATCTAGCCTTAGTAAGCATATTATCTCATTAAACGGTTCATAAAACATAATCATTAATTCATGCTTTTCATTTATGCGTTTCTACTATTAAAACATGTATTTTAGAAGGGGTCCACTCACAGATACTTCGCCGCTGAAGAGCCACGCAAACTAGCGAAGACGAAAACGCCATAATAATTGCTCCTAAGCACATAAAGGGTCCAATTAATAAAACTCTATTATAACAATTGAATTTGGGAAAACAGACGTCAAAAACGGATTCAGGATGTTGAATTACCCAAAGAGAGTCCCGGGTAACTTTCGTAAAAGTCAACAGAATATTCCCTAACAGAGTATTCTCTATAAAGGGTTTGGGCCGGTTAGGGTTTAGGGTTTGAAAGGTTAAAGGGTTTAGGTTAAACTTTTAAAAGGGTTGGTCTCTAAAGGGTTTGGGCCACAATGGGTTTTGGGGTTACTGGGGTTAAAGCCCTGCCCACAGAAAGGATTGGGTTGCACCTAGGCCCGGGTTTTAAAGGAATGGCCCAAAGGGCCTTTAGTTTGAAAAAGAATAAATTAATTAATTAAAAAAAACTAAAAAGGGTTGGGTTGGTGCTTAAAGGGCCTAAGGCCCATGGTGTTTTGAGAAAAGGCCCAAGGGCCTGGCTTATTAGCATTGAGGTCGCCGGACCTAATCGAAGGAGAAGGCCGGAATTCGGCCGGAAATTAGACAAACTTTGAACACTCATAACTTTGTCAATACTCAACGAAATCGAGCGATTCAAAAATGAAAATTATAGTTCTCGAATAGATGAAGAGAATGATATCTTGCATGACATCAAACTTGTCGTGGTTTTGCAGGAAAATGCCTCGAAAGCCGCAGAGGTCGACGGAAACTGGGTAAGATTCAAATGAGTATAACTTCTTCAATACTCAATGAAATTGGGTGAAACAAAAAGGAAAGTTATAATACTCAGCAAGACGAAGAGATTGATACCTTGCACGTCGACCAAATCATGGTGGTCACGAGTATTTGCTGGAATCTGGGTTTAGTTCTCCAAGGTGGTTTTCCTGTGTCATAACGTCCCCAAGACAATACCTATTTTTATTAAAACTACCAGAACGTTGAAAAGGAAGAATGAGTGATGGTATTTCGAGCCTCATTTATTCAAGAATAGTAAAACTCGCCCGTGTGGGTGTGCTAAGCATGTTTGGGTGGTCTTTGTGTTTCACAGAGGAAGAGGGAGAGAAGAAAGGCCCAACGATGGTGGTGCTGCCGTCGTGTTTTTGTATGCTTGTGTGTGTGCACGATCGACGGTGAGAAGGGAAGAATGAGGTCGAGAGAGAAGTGCAGAGAGTTTCGGGGAGAGAAAGAGAGAGAGCTATAGAATGAGTTATAAAAATCAGAAAAACAAAGAAAAGGGGAAAGGAACCGGGGGACAAATCAGGGGGTGGGCCCCCTTAGGCTCACTAATTAAGACAAAAAATCCATTTTTAAATAAAAACCCAAAACTACCTTTAAAATCGGGGGTGGGGTGTAACAAGCTACAACATTGCCACCACGGCATACATCAATGCAAGATGAATATGACTCACATAGAGCACAGGGAACTTAGACTTTGGTACCATCTCTAGAAAATAGGGCAATTGTTGGGAGTAAATGGGTGTACAAGGTTAAAAAGAATCCAGATGGGAGTATTTCAAGATATAAAGCAAGACTAGTAGCTCAAGGATTCTCACATGAGCATGGTATTGATTATTAGACACTTTCAGTCTTGTGGTAAGGCATACAACTGTTAGAATGATTCTAGCCTTAGCTGCAATAAATTATTGGGTATCTTAGACAACTTGACATCAAGAATGAATTTATGCATGTTGATTTGCAAGAAGAGGTGTTTATGAAACAACCTCAGGGTTTTGTTGATGCATCGCATCCTACATATGAGTGCAAGTTAATCAAATCCTTGTATGGTCTGAAGCAAGCCCCACGGGCATGGAATTCCAAGTTCACTAGTTATTTGGTAGCTTTACAGTTTGTTGCTTCACCTTCTGATACAAGTTTATTTGTCAAAGCAGATGATACAAATATGATAATCCTATTGCTTTATTGATATGACATCATACTTACAGGATCAAACTTTTCAAAACTTCAACAAGTTATTCAAGAATTGTCTTATGTGTTTGAGCGAAACTTATCTATTTCTTAGGATTGTAGGTTCACTACATATCTAATGGAAATATTCTTATGAATCAGTCTAAATACATTAAAGATTTGATTCACAAAGTAGGTATGGATTCCTGCAAACCCACAACAATTCCATGTAAACCACATTGACAATTACTTGATGTAGAAGGCACTATTTTGATAGATCCAACATTGTATAGGAGTCTAGTTAGTTCATTGCAGTATTTGACTTTAACAAGGCCATATATTGCGTATGCAGTTAACTCAGTATGTTAGTTTATGTCTACACCAACAGAATCACACTTTGCATCTGTCAAGAGAATACTGAGATATCTTCACGACACAATTCAAATGTGTCAACAAGTATGTTAATTTCGTGTGTGCAAACAATTTTATTAAAACTAATTAGCACAAACGCCTTTAAATTCTTAAAAAGTTCACAATTAATTCTGGAGACTTCAATTTCCCAAACAAAAAATCTTTTTCATGAAGCATTAATAATGCCCTTAACATAGATTTACTTCAACTCAATAAAATCACTTGGCTTGGATTACTACTTTCCCAACATTAGAGCTGGTGAAAAGGGATCCTAGGCTCTCCAATAATATTTCAATTCCATGGAAGATTTTGAGCTTAGAATAACCAATCTTGCCTTGCTTTACGTGGCTCTCCATCTCGGTTGCAAAATCTCCATAACGATGCAGGTATGAACCCACCAAGAACCCTTGCATATTCACCTCCTTTCCGATTAAATTCAGCAGATTCCTCACCCCCTCTCTCTCAGTCCAAACCTGAACAAATTAAATAGATGAGCTTTGCAGTTGAGAAACGGACGAACATGTGTGTGTGTGTATATATATATATTTCCAATAACATGTCTTTTTATGTATATGACAGTTATACGTATGAAGAAGACAAAGGTTAGTAATTGTAATGGTATTAAATTACCTTATTGTAGCCAGATATCATGCCACAAAGAGGGATCTTTGCATGCTTGTTGACATGGTTAAGAGCAGCCTCAAGCATTTCACCGCCAACATTGTCAAGGTAGACATCAATTCCATTAGGGAAATACCTGCAAATTATAAGGAAACCTTTCACATGAGTCTTCATGTACGCTTCATCAAAATCATCACATAAAGGCTAATTTATCTAAATATTAGTATTGATTACTTGCTTAAAGCAGCATCAAAATCCGTCTCTGTGTGGTAGTTAAAAGCATCATCATATCCAAATTCCTCCTTGATTAGCCTCACCTAAAAATCACAAATTATCAACAATATTGGAAATAGCAAATTAATCTATCAGAGAGATAGAAGTCTGTGGTGTAAAATTTCAGAGGTTTACATCAGTGTATTTGAATGCATCATCATATCAAATATCTTATAAGATATTTCATGAGATTATTATTTAATTGATCAGCATTCTAATAAATAAAAAGAATCCATGTTCTACTAAGAATTTGCTGTACCAATTATGATCGAATGTATAAATTCCTAATAATATGGGGACAAACAGAAATTCCAAAGAGTGAACCCTAATAAAAATATTTTCAATGAAAAAATGAACAATGATAACGATTTCGTTTCAATCTTAACTGCTAATAATTTGTCTTTCGCTTAATTTGTCACGTCGCTCTTTAGTGGATTATGCAAGCAATTTTTATTTATTTTCTAGTTCTTACATCGTCAACTCAAATTCCATACTTTATGTCATCTTTACATCGTCAACTCAAATTCCATACTTTATGTCATCTTCATATATATTTGTTTGTCATGTCGCGCTTCATTGGGTCATTGTAAATATCAATGCAACTTATAGTTTAGTTTTTTTATTGATATATTATTTCTTTATATATTACTGCAATATTACTGCCTTAAGCTATATTAAGGAGAGGGTAGGAGAGTTTAAATTCGAAATGCATTAGGTTGAAAAAGAGTAGGTGCCCTATTCATCAAGACAATCTCTCATTTACAATTCTTTTTATTAAGCCAGAGGGTAGTTTGAATACTTCATACTTGACCTCATTCCTAGACGACTTAAAACTTTGGAGATGAATATACGATCTTGAGATAAAATCGAAATAGCGAAACTATTCGAAATAGCCCTTTTAACTTTTGATGGTAAAATAAAATCAAGCAGATCAATTTGATTTTATTATTATTATTTTTTAACAAACGATATTGTCTACATAAAGAGAAGGGGGTGGCTTAGCTTCACAATGAGCTAATAATAATTTGGTTCAAATTCGTCTTTGGCGAAAATCGAATCTAAGACCTCTCACTTATAAGTGAAGAGAAATACCACTAGATCATAGTACTAAGTGGCAAGCAGATCAAATTTTATTTACCAAACATTATACTATAATGTCTTAGTTGTTCAACTTAACTAAATGGTCTATATTTTAAATTATCATTCATAGATCATTCTTGTAAAAGATTAAAATTTGACAAATTTAAAATCATTTAGACATCCAATTACATTGAAGAAAATAACAAATACAGTTCTCCAAAGAAACATTAAATGACTACTATTAAATTGGACAGTCATATGGGTTTGGAGTTGGATATTTTTGGTATAGATTATCTTAGAGGAAAGACCTTAATGATAGACAATTTAGATCCTTGAAATACGAGATTTGCCCTACAAGAGATGCCTCAAATAAGCTCAACGAAAAATTAATATATGAATATATATATATATAACAAAACAAAAAAGGGAAAAAGTAGCCGGCAGCGTACGAGTTTTCTGTAAAGAGTTGAGCAGTAGGAGACAGATATGAGTATATTTTACCAACTTCTTAAGAAGGTTTAGTTAGATGCCATTTTCAGTCAGGACGATACATGGGACGAGAAACCACCATAGCATTGATTGAGGATGAATAAACTTGTGTTGGAATGAAAACTATATATCGATTGTATCTGGGATGTTTTGAAAAATACTCTAATTTACCACTATTATTGTTCGAACTGAATGAAACGCCACTTAAGCAATTAACTAGTTATTCACTTCTAAACAATGCAACAGTGGTATTTCATTCACTTTGAACTAGTTACAGATTAGAGCATTTTCTAAAATTTAATCTACTTACCTTCTCATCTGATCCGGTGCTTCCGATGACCCTGCATCCTCTTAGCTTGGCCAACTGTCCAGCATACATTCCAACAGCCCCAGCAGCAGCTGAAATGAACACATTGGATCCTGGTTTTGGGTCTGCCAGCAACTCAATTCCCACCCATGCTGCAAACCCCGGCACCCCTATATTTTATCATCCACAGTGGATTAGCCATGACACAAGTAATTTTCGTTTGAATTATTTTGAAGTAAAAGAAAGTACGATCACGGAACTCTAATTTGAGCTTCTTGATCATCCAGTGAGCACTGAAAAATTATAGAACGTCCAGTTTATAGTGCAGGAGGCTAAAATAGGAGTGTCGTTGCCTCTACCATAGCTAGGGAAAATGCAAAAGGAGAGAGATTGGGAAAGAAAATTGTTACCTAACAAGCTGATATATTCAGGCAAGGGAATCCCACTATTTGTATGGATCTTCCTTGCTATCAACTGGGATGGTACCGCACAATATTCAGCAACAGATGTGAATGCACTGACGACTATGTCACTTCAGCATAGTTACCATCTTTTGACCGAATTACCCTTCCAACCCCAAATGCTGTAATTACCTGCATGCATAAATTATAATCTTAAACTGTAATTTTGATATCAATGTTTAAGCATGCTTGCATGCCCATGTTACATGCATGTGCGATTGAATATATTATGGTATGCTTGCACGAACCTGGTCAAGGTTGAACTGAGGGATGCATAGCCCATCTTCCCGGCCAGTGATGCTGCTCCGTAAATATGGCTCGATGGAGATGAAGAGGGTCTCAAGAATGACATGTTGTTCGGGAATGGAATCAGGGGATAGTGAGAGTGTGACCGTACGGAGTTTGAGATGATCAGAAGTTGGAACGCCTTCAGCTGCATAAGCAGCCAAGTACCATTCTCTGCTTTCCACTTCTGCCATCTCTCTCTCTCTCTCTCTCTCTCTCTCTCTCTCTCTCTCTCTCTCTCTCTCTCTCTCTCTCTCTCTCTCTCTCTCTCTCTCTCTCTCTCTCTCTCTCTCTCTCTCTAGCCTAGCTTATTCACCTTGTATACTGATTTTGTTTCTTCTTAGTGCCGGCCTCTTCCTTTTTAATTTGTATAGCATGATATGTGTTGATGCAGAAAATCAGAGGGGTTTTGGAACAATGTAAATCCGACCGTGAATCTGCAAGAAAGTAAATAACACAAGATGTATCGTGGTTCACCCCAATGTTTGGGCTACGTCCACACTGATATTGTATTTCTCTAAGATGTTGAAGAGGGAGAGAGAGAGCTTCTGAGGGTGAGAGAGCTCTTCTCCATCTGAGAGGTTTGAGGGGATAAGGAGGCTTAAGGATTGGCCTCTCCCATTATGAGGGTGAGGAGTCCCTTTTATAGAATAAGGGCTCCTCACTTATTACATATTTGCCCATTCCTTTATTACATAATTACATTTTGAGTCCCCCGAGTATTTATACGAGATCTAAATACGGAGGCCCTAATTATGGTACAAACAGTAGTCCCTCAAATCTTCAGTCAAGAGAGTCTTTTGGCTGGAGACTTGAAATTCAGTCCATGTGTGGGCCGAAGTAACTAGATGTCGTCTAGAACTGATTCTCGATATGAGGCGGTGCCCAATCTGAAATGATGCTCAACGAGAAGTAGCACATGTTGCGAGGCTGCTCTGCTTGTGGCTTATGTTGCCTTGGTTGGCTCGGCTTGTGGTGTTGAAGGTGAGGGAGTCCCTTTTATAGAATAAAGGCTTGCTCCTCAATACATAAATGATGAGCTAGAGTTGATGCTAGCGGTGAGGCGGTTGCTCAGTAGGCGGCGATGCTCTCTAATGATGGTGAGGGAGTCTCTTTTATAGAGTAAGGGCTCGCTCTTCAATACATAAGTGATGGGCTAGAGTTGAAGCTTGCGGCGAGGCGGTTGCTCAGCAGGCGGCGATGCTCTCTAATGATGGTGAGGGAGTCCCTTTTATAGAATAAGGGCTCGCTCCTCAATACATAAGTGATGGGCTAGAGTTAAGGCTCGCGGCGAGGCGGTTGCCCAGCAGGCAGCGATGCTCTCTAATGATGATGAGGGAGTCTCTTTTATAAAATAAGGGATTGCTCATCAGTACATGAAGAATGGATGCTCTCTAATGAAAGTGAGGGAGTCTCTTTTATAGAATAAGGGTTCGCTCTTCAATACATAAATAATGGGCTAAGTCCCCCAAGTATTTTTCATAAGGCCCAGTTGAGGCCCAATATATGGTACATAATGTAGTCCCCCAAGTCTTTGATCAATAGATTCTGTTGGTTGGAGACTTCAAATTAAATCCATGTATGGGCCGAAGTGGCGGTTGTTCAGATGCGGTATTTGTATACCTTGCACTGAAGCTTTATAGGTGAAGCTTTGCAAGTGAAGCTTTGAAGCTAGAGCTCTGTAAATGAAGCTTTTGAAGCTAGAGCTTTTGTAAATGAAGCTTTTGAAGCTAGAGCTCTGTAAATAAAGCTTTCGAAGCTAGATCTTTTGTAAATGAATCTTGTTGATGCACAAAACCGGAGGTCTTGGAACAACGTAAATCCGACCGTGAATCTGCAAGAAACGGAAATAACACAAGATGTATCATGGTTCACCCCAAGGTTTAGGCTACGTCCACATTGATTATGTATTTATTTGAGAGGTGAGGGGAGTGAGGGAACTCTGTAATGTGAGAGGTTTGGGAGGATGAAGGAGCCTTAAGAAATGGCCTCCCCTAATTGTGAGGGTGAGGGGTCCTTTTATAGAATAAGGACTCCTCACTTATTACATATTTGCCCCTTCCTTTATTATATAATTACATTTAAGTCCCTCGAGTATTTGTACGAGATCTAAATACGGAGGCCCTAAATATGGTATAAACAGTAGTCCCCAAGTCTTCAGTCAAGAGAGTCTTTTGGCTGGAGACTTAAAATTCAGTCCATGTGTGGGCCGAAGTAACTAGATGTTGTCTTGAACTAATGTTCGATATGAGGCAATGCTCAATCTGAAATGATGCTCCACTAGAAGTAGCACACGTTGCGAGGCTACTCGGATCGTGGCTTATGTTGCCTTGGTTGGCTCGGCTTGTGGCGTTTGAAGGTGAGGGAGTCCCTTGCTCCTCAATACATGAATGATGGGCTAGAGTTGATGCTCGCGGTGAGGCGGTTGCTCAGTAAGCGGCGATGCTCTCTAATGATGGTGATGGAGTCCCTTTTATAGAATAAGGGCTCGCTCCTCAATACATGAATAATATACTAGAGTTGATGCTCTCTAATGATGGTGAGGGAGTCCATTTTATAGAACAAGGGCTCACTCCTCAATACATAAATATGGGCTAGAGTTGATGCTCTCTAATGGTGGTGAGGGAGTCCCTTTTATAGAATAAGGGCTCGCTCCTCAATACATGAATGATGGGTTAGAGTCCCTCAAGTATTTTTCATGAGGCCCAGTTGAGGCTCAATATATGGTGTATAGTGTAGTCCCCCAAGTCTTCGGTCAATAGAGTCTGTTGGCTAGAGACTTCAAATTGAATCTATGTATGGGCCGAAGCGGCGGTTGTTTCGAGGCAGTACTTGTATACCCTGTACTGAAGCTTTGTAGGTGAAGCTTTGCAAGTGAAGCTTTGAAGCTAGAGCTATGTAAATGAAGCTTCGAAGCTGGAGCTTTTGTAAATGAAGTTTTTGAAGCTAGAGCTCTGTAAATGAAGCTTTTGAAGCTGATTGACATGAGTGATGCTCACGAATGTTTATGTTGTTTGACATGAGTGATGCTCATGGATGTTGTCATGAGTGATGCTCATGAATGTTAACATAAGTGATGTTCATGAATGTTGACATGAATGATGGTCATGAATGTTTATGTATGATTGTCATGAGTGATGCTCATGAATGTTTATGTATGAATGACATGAGTAATGCTAATGTATAATTTGGAGTACTGGGCGTACTTTTGATCACCTGGTTGGTGGCATGAATGAGAGTACGGGTTGTACATTTCATCACCTGGTTGGTGACATAAATGGCTAGTTGCCAAATGATTTTAAAGTACGGGTTGTACATTTCATCACCTGGTTGGTGGCATGAATGACTAGTTGCCAAATGATATTGGAGTACAGGTTGTACATTTTATCACCTGGTTGGTGGTAATAGCGACAGGTTGCCGAATAATTTTGGAGTACTGGGCGTACTTTTGGTCACTTGGTTGGTGATAATAAAGGTAGGTTGCCGAATAATTATGGAGTATTGAGCGTACTTTTGGTCACCTGGTTGGTGCTATTTTGGGCTTATGGGCCTTTGCCATCCACAACATGCCAGCCCATTTATTTTGGGCTTTGTAGTTTTTTTTTTTTTTTTTTTACCTTCTGATGGGGTTTATACAGATGTCTCTGAAAGATTAAAAAAAAATTACATCATTCAAAAATACTGCTGTAGAAGGTGGGTATGGCAGATGGTTGGATAATGGGATAGTATCTGCATAATTGAAGGTTGGGTAGTGGTATGGCAGATGGTTGCAGAAGCTTTTGCTTTTACTTTTTCTTTTCCTTTTCTCCCCGCTCCTTCTCTGTCTACCCATGTTGCTTTTGCCTTGCTTGAAACGACGAATATGAATCATTGATGACAGCTTGTACCTCTATATTTTGCTTTTTTCGTTCTTTTTTCCATCTTTATGTTTCATCATATCAAAAAGCATTAACTACCTTTATTTCTTTCTCTCTCTGCGTACAGTGAGTATCTTTCTCTACAATATCTCTTGATCTGATCCCATCATGTCCTGTTTAGCCATTTCTCTTCAACCCGCCAATGGATCTAACATCCTGCTCCAAACCCGAGAATGGTTCCCGTCTGCCCGGGCCCTCGTCGTCGTCTTGGCATGAATGTGAACATACCAATATCAGCCTCCCGCATGAACGCCTCTGCCGCTTCTATTCTTTTGTTTCTTTATGAGGATCTTCACAATCACCAGCGGCATCTGCTGCGTTTTCTGCTGGTTTTCAAGCTGAACTGAGTTGGCTGGTCATGTTCTTCCGTACTAAATAACATGATGAGCCTCTGCTGTACTACCACTAGCACAGGGTCGCAATTAACAGAACTAATGAGTTGCAGTGAAACTTTGAGGTCGTTGAGCTCTAAAAAATTCTTCTTCATCAACACCAACGTCCCTCTGATCTTCTTGTCGTCATCTTTTGGGTGATGATCAACGGTAATGTTCTGGGATGGCTTGGCAATTGATGAAACCACAGTTGAAGGTTGAGATTATGCCACATCAGTCATGCACAAGAAACCAGCAGGGAGTTGTTTTATTGGAGCAGTTGTTTGAAGCAACCCAGGTCTGCCATTGACAGACGTGGCACGGTCTGGATTGGTGGTTTTTGCTGCTGCTGCAACAACTGAGTTCAAGGGACTGAGATGCTTAAGATGAACATGAAGCATCTTTGCTTTTTGTACCGTTCCCTACTACATCAACAGCAAGCAAACTGCATCATTTTCCCTCCGTGACTTCACCGTCCGCAGTGACCTCGACAAGATCGTTCGGATCAACAATCCTGATAATGTGGTAAGATGAAGGCGATGGACAGAGTGGGGTTGGCGGGGTCATAGGTCTAGTGGAGGAAGGCGCGGGTGTGATAAGTAAAAGAAGGATGAACGGTAGAAATGTGGCGGGGGAGATGACGGCCTGCGCTACCTCCTTACGGGGGCGGAACTGCCACGTGGCTCTGTTGACCCACCTGCGTGTTCATAGACAACGACGACGGGGGTCCGTACATCGGATGGCTAGACGGTGCTGATGACGTGGTGATAAGGTAATTCGGCGTTTGACCGGAACAGGAGCTGTAGTCATAGTCCATTTATCTCACTGGAATATTTCTCTCGCAGATTTAAGGAAGAAGAAAATTGAGAAATGAGGCTCTATTGTTGTCGCGGTGAGAGGTGAGGA